GCATGATGACTAACATAACATAATAAAATAAAATTTTTAAAAAAAGGAAAAAAGAAAAGAACCTTCCTCAGCTTTCTGTCTCTGAGTGAACTAAGATATGGACCATTTTGGGGGTTCAAGCTACTCATATGTTTGGAAAGATAATTCAATAGACAGCTCTATTTAGGAAAACAAAATGGTACTTCACATTGATAATGACCAACCAGATGTACCCAAATGGCAGCTGCTTGACTGGGAAGAGCTATTAACCTCCAAAATACTCCCACTGAGAGCTTGGTCATTTGACTCAGTCCATGGCATTACCTTTCTTTTCTGCTGTCCTGTAGGTTGATTTCCAACAGCCATATTTAGAATCTAGCCAACACTCTGGCTTACCATTTTTTCAAAGTCAATGGCTTTGATTCCATTATCAAAATTCAGTCCATGCCCACATCCTGGGCTCTATCATTCCCCAGAATTGTTCTACATCTGAAATTCCAATAAATTCCAGTACATCCCCTTTGCTCATTACCTCCAATTCTTCCAGCTCTCTCACCCCTTCACTATTGCCATGCTTGTTTTTTTTCTCAACATTCTCATTCCTTTGACCCTTCAACTTCCTGAGTTTGCTACTCTCTGCCTGACCTAACTCTTTTCCTTACTCATCCTGAGTGTGCTCAGTCAACTCTCCACCATTAAACTCAGCTCACTTGTCCTTTATCCTAAAAGCTTATGTACACTTTAAAGAGCCAGCCTTGGACCAATCATCTAATGTTTTCCTCTATTTTGGTTCTTTGGGAGAAGGATGGGGAAGCTTTTAAGAGAAGGTATCTTTTGTTGAAATTGGGGTGAGCCATAATAAGTATTCAACTTAAGAGGTGGAGTTCTGAGGAAGTAGCTTGCAATTCTCTTCCATTTCTGTCCTTAAAAATGATTTCATAGCTTCCTAATACTCTGTATTTATTTACTCATGTCTAGAGCTATGGGATGATAACTTGCACTCACTTTAGAATTCTTATAATGCTATCCCACTTTATGCAAGTATCAATTAAACAAATATAAGAAATGATAATATAAAAATTAATAGTTTCAATTCATGCAAAACACTTGAAATATGAGTCCAAATATTTTAGGATTTCTTCAGGAATTGCATAATTGCAAAGGCTGTAGCCTAAGAATGGTGTACTGTGTTTATGCTAAGTCCACATGGTGAAGTCTCTAGTAAGAAAAAAATATTCTCTTTCTTTTGTCAGTATTTTATGAATCATACACTTGTTTATGTGCACAGTAACTTCTATGTCAGAGTTCAGCCACTATTCTACTGTTATTTAACCATTTGCTGTCATTATAATTTAATTTTTTTGTATCCTATAACAATGTAACAAGGTAAGCATTCATCAAATGGGGGCACTAGGAGTAGGGCTAAAAAACAGGCCTCAACATCAATTACTTTGGCAAGGAACTTGGAAGTGAATGAACAAAACTCTAAATAAGCCAAAGAACTGCCATGGCATGCTGTGCTGTTATTGTAGAAATAAGCAACATGAGAAATATGAGAAATAATGCTAAAAAAATTAAAAGCATGAATATACAACACAATGGCCAAAGATTTATGCACCCTGAGAATACATCTCACATTCTTTATCTTTATGCCTGTGGAGAAATTAGTCCTTTGAAATTTTGTGGGTTTTTAATTATGTGTCTTGTCTTTTGTTTAGAGATGCAGCCAGATCCCATATATGTAAGGAAATGGGCCTGAATTTCATTTTTAAATAATATATTTGTTTCCTTGGGGTTTTCCTGATTATAAGTCATCATGCTTGTTGCATTGGAAAATTCTAAAATGTGTAAAGATGAAGAACTCACCTAGAATCTCACCATCCAATGGCCAACTTTACTAGCATTTTGACAGTTTCTTTGGTTTTTCCTCTATCTTTTTGCATAGTTTATACATATATAATATTTATATATTACATTAATATAATAAATTTTATATGCATAAATTTTGTATCTTAATGTTTCTCTTAACCTTAAATCAAGATTTATCAGGACACTAAGAACCATCTATGGACATTTAAAGGTTATAAAATAACTCATCATGTGATTGTAACATATTTAATAGTACTACTCCTAATACTAAAACATTAGGTACTTTCCAAGTTTTGCCATTACAAACAATTCTGTGATGAGTATCCTTGGATATAAATTTTATCCCTAGTTGAGTTATTTTTCTCCGAGGAAGTTTCTTAGAAGGAAAATTATTAGATCAAATAGTATCTTTTCTTTAAATTTTATTTTATTGTTATGTTAATCACCATACAATACATCATTAGTTTTTGATGTAGTGTTCTATGATTCATTGTTTGCATATAACACCCAGTGCTCCATTAGATCAAATAGTATCTTTTTTTTTTAAAGATTTTATTTATTTATTTGAGAGAGAGAGAATGAGAGAGAGCACATGAGAGGGGGGAGGGTCAGAGGGAGAAGCAGACTCCCTGTCGAGCAGGGAGCCCAATGCGGGACTCGAGCCAGGGACTCCAGGATCATGACCTGAGCCGAAGGCAGTCGCTCAACCAACTGAGCCACCCAGGTGCCCCTAGATCAAATAGTATCTTGATACATATTGCCAAATTCCTTTCAAGAAAGATTAAAACAATTTACAGTCTTCCTGGCAACAGATGAAAGTACCCATTTCATCACATCTTCACCCATTAAATATTATTATTTTTAAAAATAATGCCATTGTTATACGCAAACAATGAATCATGGAACACTACATCAAAAACTAATGATGTACTGTATGGTGACTAACATAACATAATAAAATTAAATTTAAAAAAAATTGCCAATTTTATTAGCAGGAAAATTTTTTATTGTTTTAATTCACATCTCTTATTATTAGTAAAGTGGGATCTTCCCTATATTTAGTAGCTAGTTTTACGTTTCCTGCTTTGCAAATTGTCTATATATTGTCCTTTGCTCTTTCCCTAGCATCTTAACAATTTTCCTGCCAATATATATATAAGTTCTTTACCTATTAGGCATTAATCCATAAGCTATCATATTTGCTTTCTTTATGGTTTGAATGCTCTTTTTTGATGAGAAAAAATAAATAAGGATACAACATATAATGTAATGTCAGGAATCTTCCCTAAATTGGTTTTACCATGGTTTCTAAAACTATTGATTATTCTCATCTGTTTATTCTTTCAAATAACTCATAATCTTAGAGTTCTAATAGAAAACAAAATCCATTTTTAATATAATAAAATTTATGAATTTAACTCATAATTAATTTAGTTTTCCAGTTTCTTAAAATGGTTGTTGTTCCCTTGGAGTCAAGATTTCTGTCTCAGTTATCTCTGGGTGTACATTTGTTAAAATAAAGTTAATGGCTTCAAACAAGAATTCATTATGATTTCCTTGTTATCTTGCATGGGTTGCAGTCCGAGAGCAGATGGAGCTGCAGCTCAGGCTCAACTAGGCTGGACGTCCAAGATGGCTTCCTCACCCATGAATCAAGCACATCAGTGCTCCTCCTCATGGCCTCTCCTTCCAGGAGAGTAGCCTCGATTTCTTACATGGGAGCTCAGGGCTCCAAGACTTGTAAGCAGTCTTCTTCAATCTAGCCTAGATCTGGCATAGTGTCACTGTTGTCATGTTCTATTGATCAAATCAGTTCCCTGACAGCTCAGATTCAAAAGGTGGGGCATCATTCACCTTGTCCTGGGGAAGTGGCTTGTGGAAAGTCCACCATCTTTGGAGACAAACTACCACATCTTCTTTATTGATCTTTATATGGGTTAGAATTTTCTTCACAAAAGTATTTAAAATTTAGGGGCACCTGGGTGGCTCAGTTGGTTGAGCGACTGCCTTCGGCTCAGGTCACGATCCTGGAGTCCCTGGATCGAGTCCCGCATCGGGCTCCCTGCTCGGCAGGGAGTCTGCTTCTCCCTCTGATCCTCCCCCCTCTCATGTGCTCTCTGTCTCTCTCATTCTCTCTGTCTCAAATAAATAAATAAAATCTAAAAAAAAAAAGTATTTAAAATTTGTGTTGCTATAGTAATTTGTGTTTTTTTCTTTTATAAGTTAACTAAGCTGATATGAAGCAAAGATATTATTTTTGATATACTTATTTTGTATTCAATCACCTTACTAAATGGTCTTATTTCTACTAATTACTTTTCAGTTTAATATGTTAGTTCTCCTAAGAACATAATAATACTCTCTGAAAATAAAGATGACTTTATTTCCTCCTTTTTTTCAATAGTTAAATCTCTTACCTATTGTACCAGTCAAGATTTCCATAACAAGACTAAGAGGAAACAGCCTTATTTTGTTTCTGTTGTTTAACTTTTTAAGTACAAGTAAAATGAAGTTATAAACTGGACATATTTTATCAACATACACATCTCCCAGAGCTAAATTACACCACTTAGGGGCGCCTGGGTGGCTCAGTTGGTTGAGCGACTGCCTTCGGCTCAGGTCATGATCCTGGAGTCCCCGGATCGAGTCCCGCGTCGGGCTCCCTGCTCGGCGGGGAGTCTGCTTCTCCCTCTGACCCTCCTCCCTCTCATGCTCTCTGTCTCTCATTCTCTCTCTCTCAAATAAATAAATAAAATCTTTAAAAAAAAAAAATAAATAAATAAATTACACCACTTACTTTTATGTGTCAATGCAATACAAATGAATTGAAAGGTGGGTTTTTATTCCAGATAAATTGAATTCAGGGAAAAGGACAATAAAACAAGATGAGGAAGAAAATAACTAATACATTTTGGACACTGCAATATTTTCTCCCTGAATTCTATAAACTTCCAAAAATAAATCATAACCATAAAACATTCCATTGACTCCCACAAATAGCTAATATCTCTAAATAAATATACAATCTCATGAATCTCAGCAATTTGTCCTTTCTTCCCAAGCTTGACTATTTACACTCGATATAAAGAATCATTTTAAGTACATAAATAAATAAGTATTAGAATAAGGCTTTTCGGCCATTTTATACTCACAAGTGGCTGATAATCATATGGTGGAGCATATTCTTCAGCATACGTTGTCAATGCATACCTAAGAGAGAGAAGTCAATATTTGAGAAAAGAACGACTCTGAAAAGAACGATATTTAAAATGTTTAGCATTATATCCTTTACACGAAATAAAAACATTTCAAGGAGGACTGGCCCTAATAAAATTTTTAAAACATACAACTGTCCCAGACCTTGTTTATAGCATTACCTACCACGACAGGATGACTTTCCTTCAATCACTTCCAATTCAACACCACTTATTACGCTCCTGTACTAATGATATGCTACAAATCCCAAGTCCCTGAGCTTAGGTGCATTCCAAACTTTTGGGATTCTCTTTACCATCCACTTTCTGCCCCTCAAACCGATTTGACCCTATGCCCCATGTTCTCTGCTAGATGACAACTGAAAAAGATAATAGAAGACAACCAGGTGGACTGAGTTTAATAGCTTCCCCAACTTCCACCCCATTAAACACATAGCAATTCTTAATAAATATATCCTCCTTCCCCCAAGTCTATAAGCACTGCTAAGCTCCAAAGGGAAACCCTAAGGTGCTAGAAATGAATAGGATACTCACTAGAATGGGAAGTCATAAGATGATGTACCAAGGCTAGAAGCTGGAGTTTGAACTGCCTATGAAGGGCTGGAGACATGGCCTTGGGTTCAGAGAAGGCAAAGAGCTAAACAACTACTCACAGCCAGGAGCCTGTAAAGTCTATACCCTCATATAAAAGAAACCAAAGAAACTCCAGCCACCAGTCCAGAGAAACTTGCAAGAAAGCTTCTCTGTTTGGAACTCAGGGTGGGAGAAAAATTGTTCTCCTATGAGAAATAATTAAATAAATTTTAAAAAGTGCTACTTCTAATGTGGTATATATATACCATGGAATATTATGCAGCCATCAAAAGAAATGAGATCTTGCCATTTGCAACGACGTGGATGGAACTGGAAGGTATTATGTTGAGTGAAATAAGTCAAACAGAGAAAGACATGTATCATATGACCTCACTGATATGAGGAATTCTTAATCGCAGGAAACAAACTGAGGGTTGCTGGAGTGGGGGTGGGGTGGGAGGGATGGGGTGACTGGGTGATAGACACTGGGGAGGGTATGTGCTCTGGTAAGCACTGTGAATTGTGCAAGACTGTTGAATCTCAGATCTGTACCTCTGAAACAAATAATGCAATATATGTTAAGAAAGAAAAAAAAAAGAAGAATGTAGCAGGAGGGGAAGAATGAAGGGGGGGAAATCGGAGGGGGAGACGAACCATGAGAGACTATGGACTCTGAGAAACAAACTGAGGGTTCTAGAGGGGAGGGTGGTGGGGGGATGGGTTAGCCTGGTGATGGGTATTAAAGAGAGCACATTCTGCATGGAGCACTGGGTGTTATGCACAAACAATGAATCATGGAACACTATATCTAAAACTAATGATGTAATGTATGGGGATTAACATAACAATAAAAAAATAAAATAAAATAAAAGAGAAAAAAAAGCGCTACTTCTGTTTCTGGCAATATTATGGGACTAGACAATCAAAGAAACTCCTCTGAGAATTGCACACCTAAAAATATTGGGCACAAGGAAATTTAAACATTTTAATGCATGGCTATGCTGGTGGGAAAGAGAATTCAACAAGTAAAAGAATTCCAAAATAACAAGGAAGTCAAACTCAGAATGGTTATTGGGTAGTTATTGGGTACAAGTGCTAATATTTTACCTGGTGGTAACCATCAGTTCCTGTTAGGCTTTTGAGGTGTGGTTTCCAAAGTAATAATATTAGCATTACCTGGAAACTTGTTAGGAATACAAACAACTGGGACCCAGCCCCAATCTGCTGAGTTAGAAATCTGAGGGTAGGGCCCAGCAGTCTGTGTTTTAACAAGCCCTCTAGGTGATGCTGATGCACACTCAAGTTTGAGTACTGACAACTAAAAGAACAAAAATTAGAATGCAATTTTCAAGCTAGCAAATAAATTTTTTTAAAAGACGAATCTAATAAAAAAGCAGGAAAGGAGAATAAAAGGAAGAAAGGAAAATCACTTCTCATCAGACAAATTAAAATCATAAAAATAAAAATAAATATCTTTGCAATCACAATGAAAGTAAAGGGTTAAACTCATCAGTGAAAGTATTTCTCAGACTTAAACTGAATGTCAACGTGTATTACATAGTACAACTCTATGCTTCTATACCTAGAATAAAACTATTTTCAAAGAAAGTTTGAAAGTAAAAGCATATAAAAAGACACATCCAGAAAATATTAACACAAAGTAAGTTAGTGTTCTTATATTAGTATCATATGTAATTGACTTTTTGTCAAAAGTTATTAGTTGTAAAGATCATTACCTACTGATTAAAGGAACAAACACCAGGAAGATCCTAAGTCATAAACCTAACAACACATAGAATATGTAAGTCAAAAAAATTACAGAATCACAAAGATAAAATGACAAATCTACAGTCAGATTTGCTCTGTGTGGCTTTGTTCCATAGGTAGAAGGAAGAGGAATCTCTGCTCAATACGAGATTTAAAAAGAATGATGATTTCTGTTAAGAATGAGACAGAATTTCCCAGGGAGGTTGTAAGCTCCCCTTCTCTCTTACCACACAGAGTCAAGTGGGATCCATAGCCATAGGGGCTATACCCATCCTAAATGGTGGGTGCTACGTCTCCTGCTGTCAGCAAGGGGATTTATTCCAAATTAATCCTCTGCTTTTTTGAGTCTTTGAGTCACTTAGATTCAGACTCTTAGGTGGGACCATGTGATTTGCTGAGTAGATGTCACATGCCCTTGTTGTTGCTGCTGGGAAACTAGGTAAGAAAATATCTGCCCCTCCTTCCGACAAAACAGAAAAGAAGCAGTTGATATTCCTAGATCCTTTGGTTCCTTAAACCCAAATATTTACATATATCCTCCAAAACCATATAGATCAACAGCAAAAGCAAATGAAATCACACAGTCACCCAAGCTGAGAGTGTAACAGAGGCTAGAGAAGACTACAAATTTCGGCTTACGTGTAGGTGGGAGAACAATCCAGAATCAGTAGCACCAGATCCAGAGCCCATTCTGGAACAAAATCAGGTGGGGATTACATGGAAGAGAGGAGAGGGGGGGAAGTGCGTTATGAGGATGCAACACAGAAGGCATCACCCCCCAGAAAGAAAGCATCCTTCCCTGATGGGGAAATACTGAGAACCAAGTCTAAGACTAGAGGATCTGAACACTGGCTTTCCAAGAAAGAGGCCTGGAAAGTATTCAAGACCGCAGTGGCAGTTTTGGGAAGGCGCTGCCTCTGGGAAAGTGGGAAGCAATTAGCAAGATAAAGAAAAATAAGAACTCAAGTTCAGAAATTAAGGGTCCTAGAACCACCACTCTTTCAAAAAAGATGCCTTTAATGAAATAAAGATCACTTCACTGTTCCAACAGTAGAGGGCACTCTTGAACTAAGAGATTGAGAAAACTGCCCAAATGTCTCATTGCCCATCCTTAGAATCGCCTGATTGCTGCTGGTCTAGGAAAATTCAACATACTTAAAATGAACAGAGAAGTGCAACATTACTATAAGAAGAAAACAGTAAATGAGAATCAAAACTAAGCTGATGAAACCCTCTCCAGAAACATTCCCAAATAGTCACAGAAGTCCTTCATCAGTGTTTCTATTCAATGAACTGGATTCTAATCTATTTACTAGAGATTCAAGAAAATGCAGTAAAACAAGAAAAAGAAGTATAAGTGTAATAACTGGAGTGGAAGAAACAAAAGTTTCACCTTTCACAGATGATAAGATTGTCTACATTAAAAAAAAAACAAGAGAATCTACAAATCATAACAACAGGCAATTTTCATGAAGGTTGTTGGATACAAGATCAATATACAAAAATAGCATACCCATACACCAGCAACAAGAAATTAGAAAGCAAATTAAAGTGAAAATTTCCCATTTACAACTGCAATAAAATCTCTAATGTTCCTATAGGAATATATCTAACAGAAGATTTAAAAGACAGTTATGACAAAAATTACAAAATTTGCTGAAGGACATAAAATAACTCTTTTATTTATAAACTCAAGACATGTTACATATACGTACGTGTGTGTATTTATAATTTCTAAAAGGTTTACAATATGACATTTTATATATAACTCTTGATTAAATTATAATTTAAAATTTCTATTGATCAAAAGACATCATAGTGTTACAAGAGAAGTCATAGACAAGAAGGTATTTTTTATAAAATTAAGTCAAATAATATTAGTATCCAGAATAAATAAAAAATTCCTAGAAATCAATAAAAGACAATATCTTATAGAAAAATGGCCTAAGCCTATAAATAGTTCACAGAAGAAAACAAAATGGCTAATAAATACTTGAAAACAAATTCAGCCTTAAAATTGTCTTAAATTCACCAGTGAAATGCAAAGTAAAACAACAACAATGTACCATTTTATATCCACTTGGTAAAAATTAAAAATCTCTACAATGTTTATAAGGATATGAAAGTATGAGCATATTCATACACTACTAGTGGCAATATCTTACAAAATTGAAGGTGCATATATCTTAATAGCCAGCAATTATATTTCTGAGTATTAAGAAATCCTTGCAAACTATATACTCAGGGAGATACATAAAAGGATATTCAATGCAGCTTTATTTGTAACTGTGAAAATTGGAAGCCAATGTCCATCAATATGGTGGATATGTTAGATGACTCGGTAAGTCATGATAAATTGTCTCTCTAAAAAAATAAGAAGCAAATATGGCAAAAATATTAACTTACATTATAACTGGGTAATAAGTAGATGGGTGTCTGAAGAGTATTTTATATGGAAATATTCCATAATCTTAAAATGTTTAAGTGTTAATAGATGACAATGAACTTGTTTCCCTACCCTATTCTCATCCAAAGTTATGACTCAGATGGTGTAATTATCAGTCAAATAGAGTATTGCTTTGGGCAGGCCAATTTGCAAGGTAGCATTGAGCATCTCTCAATGCATTCAGGTGGAAACCCATTCCACCCAAGCGC